CCTGGCCCAGCTGCGGTGAGCACGGCGTGGGGCGGACTTTGGGTGGGTGGGGGGCTGTCTTGGTTAACTCTATTCAGGCAGGAGAAGGTGGGGACCCTTTGAGAGCTGTAGGCAACGGAATTTCATTTTAATGCATTCTGATTAGTATGCATTCAAAGTGACAATAAAGTTATTTATTCTACTCTATTCTTAAAACACAGCCCTCTCCCCTTGGTTTAATGCACTTGGAGGGTGTGGCCTTGGAGGTCATCTAGTCCAGCCCCGTTGAATGCAGGGACTCTGGTTAAAGACTGAGCAGAGACAAATTGCTCTTCATCTCTAGTTCTGGCCTTCTGGGGGTTGCTTCCTCCTTCCACCACCCCCCACCCGCCCCCCGCCTCCCCACCCCCAGATAGAGGTCTGACATTCCACTGGGGAATAGAAACCAGTACAGTAGTCCTCGACTTACAACAGTTCATTTAGTGACCGAAGTTACAACGGGCCAGAAAAACGTGACCGTTTTTTCACACGTATGACCATTGCCCGCATCCCCATGGTCACGTGATCAAACGCTTGGCAACTGACTCATATTTATGACTGTCGCAGTGTCCCACGTCACATGATCCCCTTTTGCAATCTTCTGACGAGCGAAGTCCAGGGGGAAACCAGATTCACTTAATAACCGTGTTGCTAACTTAACAACCGCAGTGATTCGCTTGACAACTGTGGCAGGAAAGGTTGTAAAATGGGGCAAAATTCACTTTTGCCTTGCTTAGTAACAGAAGTTGTCATAAGCTGAGGACTACCTGTATGGGGTTGTGCGGTGGTGCACCAAGATTTTGTCCCATTCCCCCCCCCAGTGATTGCTAACTCCCCCTAGGGGCTTGCATGGAGGGCCCAGGTTTATTGTTATGGGTCTGCCCCTCTCCCCACATCAGCTTCTCCAGCAGCTCCTCAGGGACACCTCTTTAGCCCGCCTGACCGCTGGCCTGAAAGATGACCGTCCAGTTCTCCCACAGCCATAAGGCAGCCGGGCTCTGCCGCTCCCCCCAAGCCTTCCCCCCAAAAGCTCTGGGGCACAGGGGCCTAGGTTCAGCCCCCACCTGATGTTTTGCTCACCCCTTCCCCAGATTGTTGTTCGGCATCTCCTCCGGCCCTCTGCCAGAAGGGGCTTTGCTGGAGACCCCCGGGAACGAGGGCCTGACCGACTGGGAGCTGGACCGCCTGCTGTGGAGCCGGACGGTGGAGAACGTGGCCACCGTCTCCACCACGCTGACCTCGCTGGCCCAGCTGCTGGACAAGATCAGCAACATCGTCATCAAGGACGACGTGGCTTCGGAGGTACAGGGCTGGGCACGTGAGGGTCAGCGGCCTTCTGGGAGGTTCCGGGGTCCCAGCTCTCCTCAGGATGCCACGTCTGTGCCTTGCCCTCCCCCGCAGGTCTACCGTGCCGTGGAGTCTGCCCGGCAGGCAATGACGGAGCTGAGCCTGGGTCATCTGGACTCGGCGTTCCAGGCCAGCAAGGCTGCGGCCACCTCGTCCGAGCGGGCCTTCTTCGACCCCTCCCTCCTACACCTGCTCTACTTCCCCGACGACCAGAAGTTTGCCATCTACATCCCGCTCTTCCTCCCCATGGCTGTCCCTATCGTTCTCTCGCTGGCGAAGATGGTTTGGGAGAGGAAGCAACGGCAGAAGGAGCCCACCAAGATGGACTGAGGGGTCTCTGGACGCCCAGGCGGGTGGCAGACTCTTGGCTGGGCATCTGCCCTAATGGTGGTAGGTCCGGCCAGCATGGCGGACTCCCCATTGAGGAGAGGAGCTGATAGTTTCCACTTGGCTACTTCTTTAAAAGAGCACGTCCCTTTCGCTGCAAACGAGCCCAAAAGGACTTCAGAAGCTCTCCTTATTGCTGGCCAGGCGGGATGGAGAGACAACTCCGGCTCAAGGCTCAGCTACGGGGGGTGGGGGGGTGGGGGGGGGGGGGGGGGGTGTTCCCTCTCTTGAAATCTGCCCAGCTGAGGAAAATGAGGCCCCTTGGAGGACACAATCCTCTCCCCTCCCCAAAAACGGAATGGGGAGCCCCCCCCCTTTGTCTCCTGTGCAAGTGTTGGGTCGATCTTCCATTAAAGTTGGGTTGGCTGACTGGTGGAAGCGCTGAGCCTCTTTTGCAGCCCACCTGTGTTTTCTCGGAGTGGGGGGCAGCCAGTGAGGAGGGTGTGGAGAGGCTGCTTGCAAGTAAGGAAGGCTAAGATATGTCTAGGGGGGACATGATAGCAATCTTTCAGTATTTGAGGGGCTGCCCAAAGAAGAGGGAGGGTCCACCTATTCTCCAAAGCACCTGAAGGCAGGACAAGGAACAACGGATGGAAGCTCATCAAGGAGAGAAGCAACCTGGAATTATTCTATTCTGCTTAGGTTTGTTTGTTTGTTTATTAAATTTCTATGCCGCCCAGCTCACTGATACAAAGGATGGCTTACAATATAAGAAGTAAAAAAATGCCGGGTTTTAAGCAACCAAGGAGATTCTAGGGATGTCCAACCTTAAGGCCTGTGGACAACTTGATTTATTTATTTGTATCTCGCATTTATTACTTTTTCCAAATAACTCAAGGAGGCGAACATGTCCAACAATACCTTCCTCTTCCTCTTTTCCCCACAACCACCCTGAGAGACGGGGACTGGCCCAAAGGCACCCAGTGGGCTTTCGTGCCTAAAACAAAACTAGAACTCATCGTCTCCTGGTGATTGGCCCAAAGGACACCCAAATTATAAATGTATTAAATGTAAACTATATGAATTACTAGAAGAAAAAGTAAAGGATCTAGAACAGGGGTGTCAAACCAGAGCCCCGCGGGGTGCTTAGATGTGCCCCACTGGGCTGACCTGGAAGCAGTGAAGGACTGTCCCACAGTGCCTCTGCCAGTGAAAAGGGAGTGGGGAGGGCCTCCCACGGCCCTTGGAAGCTCCGGTTTCACTGGCAGAGAGTTGCAGGAGGCCGTTGCAGCTGAAAACGGAGCTTGGGAACCCGTCTTCGCTGGCGGAGACCTTGGGCCACCACAGGTGCCCCCAACAGGTGTGATGTCAAATTGGCCATGCCCCCCCCCCCCTATACACACACACCCTCAAGGTCAAACACAACCCTGATGTGGCCCTCAATGGAATTGAGTTTGACACCCCTGATCTAGAGGCAGACTCCCACCTACGCAAGAAGGCTATACTCCAATCGAACCAGGTAAGGGACAGAGAACTCCCAGAGGATTGGGCCCTGTGGAGGAAGAGCCATGGAGGCCGGTCACACATGGAAGGAAACAGGACGATCAAAGGAAGGAGCCGCATACATCTAGCGGAGCCCTTTTGCCCAATCGTGACGCAGCAGCAATCCAATGGAGCAATCGATGAAAACCCGCAGACTCCCGGCCTCCCCCTCGAAAGAGAACATGCTGACACCTAGAAAAAAGACATCCGCAAATGTCCCTGAAAAAGTCACGTCCTCAAGCGCACCTGTGATCGGCAGAAGAGCTCCCAAGACTGCCCCTCCCCCCCCAAAAGGGAAGGCGAGAGTTGGCCATAGGTGGTTCTATTCTCAGGGGAAGAGAACCGGCCCTCTGCAGAGCGGACATCCAATTTAGGGAGGCCTGTTTTCTCCCTGGAGCAAAACTCAAGGATGTGGCTGAGAACCTCACCAAACTAATTGGGCCCACAGATTGCTCCCCTTTTCCTTCACAGCAAAGAACCCGAGTACAACATTGAGAGATTAAGTCACCCAGCCGGCTTTCATGCCTAAAGTGGGACTAGAACTCCCCGTCTCCCGCTTTCCACCCCGGGGCCTTCACCACAAGACCAAACTGGGTCTCTTACAACAGAGTTACCTTGGGGGAACAATGGAGCCATCCCTCTGTTGTCCTGTAAATTTAATCATTCCTGGAAAAACAGTGTGGCTCCCATCTCCTAGCCCAACAATGGAGAAACAATACACCCAATTCATAAAATAGCATTGCAGGCTGACCTCGCCTGAACTCGCACCCAAAGTTCAGAAACAGCCTGAACTGGGCTGGGAAACAGCCCAGGACTTCCATGACCACCGATTGAGGGCACCTGCATCTCTTGGTGCTGCCAACAGAGAGGACCCCATTCTAGGGCCCCACTTAATGGCGTTGCTTGATGGGAGGGGCCCAGAGCGGGATCTCCTGGCCATATCTGTGGAGCGGCAGTGGTGCTGCCACAAACAGCTTGACCCCATGCCACACGGGGCTTTCCAGGTGCAACGGGCATCCGGAAGCCTTTTCGCTGTTGAATGGCATTTGGCAGCTCGTCAAAGATGGTCCTGCTTACATCACGTTAGAGCAGAGTTTCTCAACCTTGGCAGTTTGAAGACGTGTGGACTTCAACTCCCAGAATTCCCCAGCCAACGTCTTCAAACTGCCAAGGTTGAGAAACTCTGTGTTAGAGTAACCTGGATCCAGAAATGAGGATTTGCAAACTGAGGTTTACAGTCTAGATTGGGGATCCAACCTTGGCAATGTTGAGGCTGTGGACTTCAACTCCCAGCTGGCTGGGGAATTCTGGGAATTGAAGTCCACAGGTCTTTAAGGTTGGACACCTCTGGGCTAGTGTGTTTGAAGTCAAGGTGGTTGATGCAACAAGCCCTGGACTGGCCCCAAAGAAGCGGGCCGCCTTAGCAAAGGGAGACCCATCGCAGGCAGGCCGGCCTCCGGCACGCGGGCCAGTCTACCTGCGCGTTGGCAAGGAGCCCCGGCCTCCCGCCAGCCGAGCCCTCTGCACATGCCCAGGTGCCGCCCTGTCCCTCCTTCCCTGGGCGAGCAGAGCCGGTGGGCGTGGCCGCTCCCCGCCCGGTCTCAGCTGGCGAGCCGGGGGGCGGCGCTCTGCACGTGCTCCGGGGCGCCCTGGTCCTCCCTCCGGGGCGGAGCCGGGCCGGGGGACTTGCAGCCGCCCAGGGCTTAGGGCGCGCGGCCGGGCCTGGCCGGGCAGGGAGGAGGAGCGGCGGCGGGGTGCGCGCAGCTCCAGTCTCGGCGGCTGCAGCATCAGCACCGGCAGCGGCACCTCCGGCGGGGCCATGAAGGTGAAGAAGGGCGGCAGCGCAGCGGCCAACGGGGCAGCCGGAGCGGGCGCCGCCACCGCCACCGCCGGCCTGTGCAGCGAGGACGAGCTGCTGCGCAAGGCGGCCATCAGCCCGGAGGACGTGCTGGGGCTGGGCAAGATCACCTCGGGTGAGTCGGGGGGCGGCCGGGGCAAAGCGGACGCCCCGCCAGCCCTTGGCCGCAGCCAGAAGTGGCTCCCGGGGAGCGGAGGGGCTGGCCTGCCCGGGGAGGGGACGCTGCAGTTCGGCCGGAGGGCGAGGGGGGCAGCTTGCCAACCGGGCCCCGCGGAAGAGGCTCCTGCGGGCTGCTGCCCGGCGTGGAGCGGCCGAGGGGGAAGCGCAGCGTTTTGGGCGTCTCCGAGGTTCTTTGGAGGTGCCGGGCCGGTTCCTCTTTGGAGCCCGGGCAGAGGCTGGCGGCAAAGGTGCGAGCCCCAGCCCTGCAGCCCCCTACCCACCCCGGGCCTCCTCTTCCCAAGTGCTCTTGGGCTGCCTTGACCCCTTGCTAAGCGCCTTAGTCTTAACCAGGATTAAGCTGCGATTCGGGCTTTGTGTGAACTCAGAGAATAACTCTTTGTGTTGGGTCAAGGCGGCCCATGGGACACCCCCCCCCCTCCTCCAATGCAAAGATTGACCCAGTTTCAAAAAAGGAGAATCCACAGGTGGGGACCATCTCCCCCATCAGCCCCCCACACCCCTGCGTTCTCCCTAGGGAAAGGCTGCTGAAGATGGGCCCCCTCCAGCTCCAAGAGATGCACCCTCTTGGGTGCAAAGAGGGCTGCCAAGTTGTTGCTGCCGCTGGTATGGAGACCTTCCCTGAGCCTGGCATCTCTGCCCCCCAAGACCCGGCATGGCCCTGGTTTAACCCCCTCCCCCTTGCTGCTGCCCCTGAAGCAGCAGGTGCCCCTCCCTGCGCAGCTTTCCTGTGCCTTGAGGTCAGTCCAATCAGCCAAGATTACTGGGGGGCGGGGGGGGGGAGTGGATCAGGGAGCAAAAGAGCATCTTATTTAGTGGTGAGCCTCGTCTTTAGAATCATCCTAAGAGATCTCAGCCAATCCTTAATCCCGCCTGGTTGCAAAGGCCTTTCCGGAAGATGCTGGAGGGCCCTGGCCCCAAAGGACACCCAGCGGGCACCGGGTTGCGTCATTTTGCCCCCAAATTAAGCCAGTTCATCAGCAGTCTTGGAGACTTCATGAGGGTCCCTGGGTGTTTTTCAACTTGAACAGCTTTAAGATGCGTGGACTTCCACTCCCAGAATTCCCCAGCCAGCATGCTGAGTTTGAAGTCCATTCATCTTAAATCATACCGGCTGGAGAATTCTGGGAGTGGAAGTCCACCCCTCTTAAAGCTGCCAAGGTTGGGAAACATTACTGTAGAATAATTGTGGGGAGAAACACACACACACTGTCAGAGAAGAGTCGGAAGCACGTGTGAGGCACCCTGACGGTAAATTCTCACCTGCCACCTAAAATCAGAATATTCGTTTTTTTTCTTTCTTCATTCTGTGCAAACAGCTCTCTGTCCTTGGTTTCCTTTCCCCTTGGGGGAGGAAATGACGTCACTTGTTCCGCTCTGACACAGATGACAATTTGTGTCATTTACTTCAGGTCACCATGCTGGCGGGACCCGTTTGGTGTCTGAAGGCCTCCGTGGCTGTGCCATCCCGGGACGGGGATGGGCAATTAATTTCCCCAAAGGGTCACTTGAGAAGTTGGGATGGTTGTGGAGGGCTGTGAAGGTGTGTCGGCATGCATCATCACACCTACGTCAATTGGGCAGCTACCTGCAAAGTAAAAGCAATGCAGGTAGTCCTCGACTTACGACCACAACGGAGCCCAAAATGTATGTTCCTAAGTGAAACATTTGTTTTGTCCCATTTTTGACTACTCTTGCCAGGGTTGTTAAGTGAGTCACTGCAATTGTTAATTGCAGTGAATCCGGCTTCTCCACTGACGTTGCTGGTCAGAAGGTCGCAAAAGAGGGTCACATAACCCTGGAACACTGCAACCGTCATAACTACGAGTCAGTTGCCAAGCGTCTGAATTTTAAGCACGGGACCATGCAGATGCTGCAATGGTCGTAAGTGTGAAAAATGGTCATAAGTCCCTTTTTTCAGTGCCGTTGTAACTTTGAACGGTCACAAAATGAACTGTTGTAAATCGAGGACCACCTGTACAGGTGGGCCTGATAGGGGCAGCCAAAGGGCCGGAGATGGCCCAGGGGGTGTAAAACCACCCAGGTCTGCTGTAGAAGCCAGCCGGAATGTGTGAATTGAAAAGATGGCTTGTTGGGGGTGCACACTTTCCAGCATTCATGGCCTGGTTCCTGGGTGGGTAGGTGGGCAACCAAAGCTGATGCCCCCTGAATTTCTGGAAGGGCGGGTGGCACTGAGGCTGCTCCTGTTACCCCGCCTGGCTGTTTTTCCTTGACAGATCAGCTGTCTATTTGAAGCCCTTGTCCTTGTCTCTGAGCCCTGCTAATGAACTTATCTTACCCAAATCCCTTTGAGGTAGGATGTCATCTTCTCTTCCTGAGGTGGGGGCACAAACCAGGGCCTGGGCAGGGGGGCATCTTCTGGAGCCAGCAGCTGCCAAGAGGGGCCAGTGGAGGGCAAAGAATCCAGTTCTAAGCTGGCCTGTCTCCTTATTGTGTATTTCTTTTCCTGCCAGTTTTTGGTGGAACACAACTTGCAAACCTTTGTGGTGGTTTTGGGATTATTCTGTTGTGCACACTAATAACAGAATAACAGAGCTGGAAGGGACCTTGGAGGTCCTCTAGTCCAACCTCCTGCTCAAGCAGGAGGCCCTCTTCCATTTCAGACAAGTGGCTGTCCAGTCTCTTCTTAAAAGCCTCCAGTGATGGAGCACCCACAGTTTCTGGAGGCAAGCAGTTCCACGGGTTAATTGTTCTCACTGTCAGAATATTTCTCCTTAGTTCTAGGTTGGGTCTCTGTTGAATGATTTTCCCCTTGTTACTCCGTTTAATTTTTTAAAACTATGAAATTTATTTGTTCAGAACAAAGCCACTTTCGATCTGCTCTGTCCGGAAATGACGTCTGTCTCAAAGCAGAAATAGCTGTGAGGCATTTCCTAGTTTTGCACAATTTCTCTGCTGCTGGTTGGAACTGAGAAAAAGTCTCTTCCCAAGTCGCTTTTTGAGCCGAAGATGTGCAAACGGCGGAAATTGTGACCGAATTAAATTTAAAGGTTAAAATTCTGGCCTGGGACGCAGAGTTGCCCCTCCAAATGGTGATCTTATTCACACAACTGAAGTTGAAACTTCTCGTACCACCATTTTTCTGGAACAGTATAGAGTAAGGATGTCCGATCTTGGGAACTTTAAGACTTGTGGACTTCAACTCCCACAATTCCCCAGCTGGCTGGGGAATTCTGGGAGTTGAAATTCACAAGTCTTAAAGTTCCAAAGTTCGACACCCCTTCTATAGGGTGTACAGCTTGAGCAAAGGGTTGGACTAGAAGACCTCCAGGGCCCCTTCCGACTCTGTTTGTATTTTGAATTGCATTGAGATTTCGTTTGGCCTGCCCTTCCCTATTTCCTGGGTGCAAGCAAGGTCCTCGCCCACCCTCCCAGACCCCTTGCAAGTTTCAGGAGAGGTTTTGTGGCTTCGGCAGAGGAAATGACTCGCAGCCTCAGAAGAGGGAGGCAGCTGGTGGGACGCTGCTCGGAGGAGGTTTCGCAACCAGCTGGAGGTGCCCCTTCCTTTCGTGCTTGCAACCCAGGTGGTGGTTGGCGGGTGTCAGGGAGATGAGGAGGGTTGAGGCAGGCTGTGTGAATTGGCACCAGGCCCACCCTCGGCCTGGGCAGAGGAGCTTCTGTTAAGAATAACAAAGTTGGAAGGGACCTTAGAGGTCTTCTAGTCCAACCCCTGCTCAAGCAGGAGACCGTAGATCATTTCAGCCAATGGTTGTCCAGTCTTTTCTTAACAACTTCCAGTGTTGGAGCACCCACAACGTCTGGTGGCAAGTTGTTCCACTGGTTAATTATGTCAGGAAATTCCTCCTTAATTCCAGGTTGCTTCTCTCCTTGATTAGTTTCCATCCGTTGCTTCTTGTCCTGCTTTTGGGTGCTCTGGAGGACAGGTGGACCCCTTCTTTCTTTTGGAAGCCCCTCAAATGTTGGAAGACTGCTATCATGTCTCCCCTGGTCCTTCTTTTCAGTAAACTAGACATTATTATTATTATTATTTATTATTATTATTATTTATTGAATTTGAATTTCAAAGACATTCCCAATTCCTGCAAACATTCTCTTTTGCTGCTTTGGCTATGGGGAGGGGCCACCTTCAAGGCTCTCTGGAGGATGGTAAGGATAAAATAAGGACAGTTTGGTCTAGTGGTTAAGGCTAGAAAGTAGGAGACCATGAGTTCTAGTCCCGCCTTAGCCATGAAAGCGGGCTGGGTGGCTTTGGGCCAATCACCAGGAGACGGTGAGTTCTAATCCTACCTTAAGCACAAAAGCTGGCTGGGGGACTTTGGGCCAATCCCTCATATCCAGCCCAACCCACCTCAAAAGGTGGTTGTCGTAGGAAAATAGGAGGAAGAAGTAGCATTAGGTGTGTTTTTGCCACCTTTTATAAATTATTATTTATAAAAATAATAAAGATGGGATACAACCGAATAAATAAAAATAAAAGGAAAGTTTCAGAGCTGTTTGTGTTTCTGTGCTCCTGGGTGGTGGGAGATGGCTTTGTGGGGGGGGGTCTTAGCCGTGGCAACACACAGAAACCTGAAGAAAGAGGAAAAGGCAGTTTAGTTCCCTCAGCAGAAGAACAATTTCCAAGTCAGGAGCCTCTTTCCCGGCTAACGAATGTCGTTACATTTCTTCTATTTATTGTATTAAATTTTTAATAAAATTAGTTATCTAGAAAAGGTGATTTTTCTTCTTCCTGGACACCAGGGCTCTCCAAACGTGGTCCCTTTAAGACTTGTGGACTTCAATGCTGACTAGGGAATGCTGGGAGTTGAAGTTCACAAGTCTTAAAGGGGCCACGTTTGGAGACCCCGGCCATAGACTAACACACAGGGGTCTCCTTCCAATGTCTACAGATCAAAATTGTGGCTCTGTTTGGTTTTGCTTTGGACAGACACCCCCCCCAAATCCTATGTCCGGAGGAGCATCTGGAGAAGGGCAGAAGGATCCAGGATAACCAGGGACGAAGTGCTGAAAAGGGAGAGGGGAGCTTGAGGAAAGGGGACCAAGGGGAGAGAGATGAACTAAGAGGGTGTCGCACCAAAGGAGATCAGCATCTGCTTTGTCTTTCTCTGTGTCCACAGGCAGGACGTCAGATCTTGAGGGCAGGTGAGCTCCCCTTGGCTGAATGGGTCCAAGGAATGCGTCCAAATCCCCCTGAGTCAGAGTTCCAAATCCTGGGCTACTTTTAAGACTTGTGGACTTCAACTCCCAGAATTCCCCCAGTTGGGGGAATTCTGGGAGTTGAAGTCCACGGGTCTTAAAGTGACCACGGTTGCAAAACCCTAAGCTGCTTATTCTTGAAGGTGGACTAGGTGACCTCAGAGGCCTCTTGCGGCCCTTGAGACCATCTTGCGGATGGTCTTCAGGATTCCTGGGGGAGGGGAGATCTTTCTGGGTCCCGAAAGGGCCCTGGGCTGGCCCCCAGCGAGTGTCTCAAGCAACAAATCAAAGGGACTCAGCCGGTCAAGCCAACTCCTGCCCCTGAGCAGATTGGGGGTGCTGGAGTCACTCCTGGGCACCAGGGCAGCCTTTCGTGGCCTGGGGGCTCCCTAGAAATTGGGGGGGGGGGGCTTTGGCCTGCTCTTTTACTAGACGTTCCACAGTCTGGATGGGGGCTGGATTAGGCAGTTCTGGGGGCCTCTCTGTTACATCTGGCTGCCCATCTGCGTGGGGGGCTCAGCTGCTCACCTGGGCAGTGGCAGCTCGGGGTGGGTGTGGCCCACCAGGCGCCCAGATCCATGGGGAGATGCCCTGCGGGGCAGGTTTCTCTTCCTCCCAGGCGGTTGGAGCTGTTGAGGGCCTGCAACTGGCTCAGTCCTGGGCTGCGGCCTCGCTTCCTCTTCCGGCTTGCAAAAGACCCCGGCTCTCCGTTCTTGGGGAGGGGGCTGAAAATATGCCCCCCACCCCTCTGGCTCTGCCCCGAAGGACCCAGTTGGTTTCTGAGGCCGCTCACTGGACGTTCTGGTTGCAGGGAGGAGGGGGCTGAGCAGGACACAGGCGGGGGATCCAGCTGGATGGAAGGGTTCTAACCCTCAACCCCCCCCACCTCTTCCCCATTCCTCCCTTTCTTCCCCTCTCCCTTCCTCCCTCCCCTTTTCTCCTCCCTCCAGTCCTTCTTCTCTCTTCCTCTCTTCCTCCCCTTTTCTCCTCCCTTCCCTTCTCCCTCCCTCCTTCCAGTCCTCCCTTCTTCTCCTCCCTCCCTCACGTCCCCCCATCCTTCCTCCCTCCTTCCAGTCCTTCCTTCCTTCCCCTTTTCCTCCCTCCCCTTCCTCCCTCCCCCTTTCTCCTCCTTTCCTTTCTTCCTCTCTCCCTCCCATTTTCTCCTCCTTTCCTTCCCCTCTCCCTCCCTCCAATCCTTCCTCCCTCCCCCCTTCCTCCCTCCCCTTCCTCCCTCCCTCCCCTTTTCTCCCTCCCTCCCTCCAATTCTTCCTTCCTCCCCCCTTTTCCTCCCTCCCCTTTCCTCCTCCCTTCCCTTCACCCTCCCTCCCTCCCACCCTCTTGTCCTCTCCCCTTCTCCATCCTTCCTTCCTCCCTTCCATCCCCCATCATTCCTCCCTCCCTCCCGTCCTCCCATCCTCCCCCTCTTCCTCCCTCCCTCCCTCCCTCCACTTTGCCCCTCCCTTCCTCCCTCCTTCCAGTCCTCCCCTCTTCTCCTCCCTCCCATCCCCCATCCATCCTTCCCCTTTTCTCCCTCCCTCCAGTCCTCCCTTCCTCCCCCTTTTCCTCTCTCCCTCCCTCCCTCCCCCCTTCCTTCCTTCTTCCTTTTCTCCTCCCTCCCTCTTCTTCCTTCCTTCCCTTTTCTCCTCTCTTCCCCCTCGTCCTCCCATCGTTCCTTCTCCCTCCCCTTTTCTCCTCCCTTTCTCCCTCCCTCCCTACAGTTCTCCCCTCTTTTCCTTCCTTCCTCCTTCCTTCCTCCTCCCCTTTTCTCCTCGCTTCCTTTCTTCCTCCCTCCCTCCCCTTTCCTCCTCCCTTCCTTTCTTCCTCCCTCCCTGCTCTTCCTCCCTCCCTCCCCTCTTCTCCTCCCTCCCTCCCTCCTTCCCCCTCCCTCCCTCCATTCCTCCCCTCTTCTTCCTTCCTTCCTTCCTTCCTCCCTCCCTCCTCCTTCCTTCCCTCCTCCCTCCCTTCCTCCTTCTCTCCCTTCCTCGCGTCCTTCCATCCTTCCGCTCTCCTTCCTGTCCTCCCTCCCTCCCCTCTTCTACTTCCTCCGTCCTTCCCTTCCGTCCTTCCTCCCTTCCTCCCCTCCTTCCTCCTGTCCTTCCTTCCTCCCCTCTTCTCCTTCCTCTTCCTCCCCTCCTTCCGCCCTTCTTCCTGTCCTCTCTTCTCCTCCCTCCCTGCCTCCCACCCTCCCTCTCGTACTTCTGCCCAACTGACATGGAGAAGCCCACCCTGAACGACACCTGCGCCTGCCAGATGTGGGGCCTGGGGGCTCTCCTCCTTCTCCTCCTCATTCTCCAGCCTGTCCATTCCCAGCTGTGCACCCTGGAAGTCCCAGTGGGGAATCTGCCTCTGGGGACCTTGGTGAGGGGCCACGGGTGCCCCATGGCAGCCCCCCCTCCACAGCCCACGGGGCTCCTTCCCTGTTTCAGCCTCAGCTGGAAGAGCCTGGGGGGGGGAGATCCCAGGGCTGCTCCTGGGGGATGGCTCAGGGTTTCCTGGGGTGCCAGGGAGAGGCTAAAGGTTTGGGAAGCCCTGCCTGGCACCTGAGCAGCTCTCCCCTCTGGCCCCTCTGGGCATTGCTCCACATGGTTGCTATGGCAACTCTGCTGCCAAGGGAGGGGAAGATGGTTGCCATGGGAGTGGGTGAGAAGGGCCAGACCATGGCACCAGCAGCCGGTTGGCAGCCAGAGTGCCCAGCCAGAGGGGCATCGGCGCCACAAAGAGGGAGCCCTAACCAGGTCTGTGTATTTAAACTGGGCTGGGATTTTGGGGTTCTCCCAGCCGCTCCAGAGCGGGCAGCCCCTCTTCTGACATCCCCCCCTGCAGATGCGGGCACAGAGTGTGAGGGCATGCATCCCCTCGCTTGTGGAGTGTGGAGGCTCTGAAGCAGCCCCCGAAGCAATCCCTAAAGCTGGAAGGGACCCAGAGGTCCTCTAGTCCAACCCCGTGTTCAGGCAAGAGACCCTACACAATTTGAGACAAGTGGCTCTCCTTGGAAACTTCCAGTGTTGGAGCAACCACAACTTCTAGTGGCAAGTTGTTCCACTGGTTTAATTGTTCTGTCGGGAAATTCCTCCTTAACTCCAGGTTGCTTCTCTCCTTGATTAGTTTCCACCCGTTGCCTCTTGTCCTGCCTTCAGGTGCTTTGGGAGAATAGCTTGACTCCCTCTTCTTTGGGGCAGCCCCCGAGATACTGGAGGACTGCTATCATGTCTCCCCAAGTCCTTCTTTTCATTAAATTAGACATCCCCAGTTCCTGCAACCTTCCTTTGTATGTTTTAGTCTCTTGCTCTTCTCTGAACTTTTTCCAAAGTCTCAACATCTTTTTTGTAACGTGGTGACAAAACTGGTTGCAGGATTCCAGGTGTGGCCTTACCAAGGATTTATAAAGCGGCGCTAATACTTCACCTGATCTTGATTCTATGCCTCTGTTTATACAACCAAGGATTGCATTAGCTTTTTTGGCTGCTGCCGCACACGGCTGGCTCACATTTAAGTGATTTTCTGCTAGGACTCCAAGGTCCCTTCAGAGTTACTGTTTTTGAGCCAGGTCTCGCCTAATCTGGACTTGTATTTTGGTTTTTCCTGACCAGGTGTAAAACGCTGCAACCCTTGTAAATGGCCTGCCAGTTGCCAAACGCCCGAATTTTGCTCACATGCCTGGGAGGATGCTGGAAGAGTCATAAGTGCGAGGACCGGTCATTTCTTTTCCGTGCTGTTGGAATTTTGAATGGTGATACTTTTCCTCCTGCAGATTACCTGTGCACCCCGGAGGAGAACGTTTACAAGATCGATTTCACCCGGTTTAAGATCCGGGATATGGAATCCGGCACGGTGCTTTTTGAGATCACCAAGCCCCCCGCTTCAGGTGAGAGACCCCCTTCCTGCTCCCCTTTCTTTCCCCCTCCCCTTCTTTACCAATTTTTGACGGTGACCATTTTCGTTCTCCTGCCAGACCTGTTTCAAATTAGAGCCAAAGCAACAACACAGGAAATCCTCAAATTACAACCGGAATTGGGACTAGAACTTGTGCTGTTGTTAAGTGAGTCGCAGGGTCATTAAGCAAATCCAGCTTCTCCCCTTGGCTTGTCGGAAGCCAGCACGGAAGGGACGCAAAGGACGATCACGTGACCCAGAGACAGTGCAACTGTCATAAGTACATGCCAGTTGCTAAGCAACCAAATTTTGATCACGTGACGGGGGGGAATGCTATGACAGTTGTAAGTCTGAGGACTGGCTATAAGCCACATTTTTAGTGCGGTTGCAATTTTGAATGGTCGCTAAACGATGGTTGTAAGTGGAGGATCTCCTGCACCGCTGTTCTTCTGATTGATTGATTGATTGATTGATTGATTGATTCGATTTATATGCCGCCCTTCTCCAGAGACTCAGCAATGTTTTGAAACTTTCCAATTTTTTAAAGGAGAAGGGCTGAAACCAGACACACAACAACGCAATTAGAGTTGCCATTCCGGCCGCTTTGGAGCCAGCTGGCTGAGCCGGTGACTTCCTTCACTTTGTGTAGGAGGAATTACAGGTCGTCCTCGACTTACGACAACAATGGAGGTCAAAGTTTCCATTGCTAAGCGAGACGGTTGTTAAGTGAGTTTTGCCCCAGGCTGCAACATTTCTTGCCACCACTGTCAAGTGAATCACTGCAGTTGTTAAACTGGTAACATGGTCGTTAAGGGAGTCTGGCTTCCCCCATTGATTTGGATGGTCAGGAGGTCACAAAAGATGGATCACGTGACCCGGGGACACTGCAACCGTCATAAGTACATGCCAGTTGCCGAGTGTCTAAATTTTGATCACGTGACCTGGAGTTGCTGCAGTGGTCATAAGTGTGAAAAATGATCCGAAGTTGCTTTTTTCAAACAGACACTAAACGGATTGTAAGTCGAGGATTACTTGCACTGTCCGCATAGGAGAATTATTTTAGAGACTCTATTTTGGGTGGGGAAATGAGCATTATTTTCCTTGCTGATTTTCTTTTTGTCAAATAAAATGGAGTGGGTCAAATACGATAGACAGAAGAAATAATTTTGCACTTGGACCCCAACTTTTGTAGCTGGAACGACTGATCCTGGTTCCTGGGGGGGGGGTCTTCTCTGCCCCATCAGGGCCCGGGGTTGGCAGGGCTGTGCCACCCTTAGCTGTTTGCAGCTTCTCTTAGGCCAGGACTATGATAACCTTGTGGCACTTTAAGACTTGTGGACTTCAACTCCCAGAATTCCTCAGTCAGCTGGCTGGGGAATTCTGGGAGTTGAAGTCCACGAGTCTTAAAGTGCCACAAGGTTATACAGCCCTGTCTTAGGCCTTCATTCTACCCTGCTGGGCTTCATCCCTGGTGCCACAAAGAAGGCGTGCCAGTCCCCGTCATGCCAGGGCATCGCATGTTGCAGACGTGTGTGTGCAGATCAGTTGGGCGAGATCCGTAAGGGGCTCAAGGGTCAGGACGGGTGGAAATGCAGGGTTTAGGCACCATCCAGCCACGGGGCAACCGGGGTGCTCTCTTGTCTCCTCCCAGAACGTGAGCGCAGCGAAAAGAAGGAGGGCGACCCCAACGCCGGACGGTTTGTGCGGTACCAGTTCACCCCGGCGTTTCTACGGTTGCGGCAGGTGGGAGCCACGTAAGTGCTGGGCCGTTACTGCAGAGAAGCATTCTGGACGTGAAAGGGATGGTCTTGCTCTATTCCACCCGCCCCAGGCCGGTCTTTCACCACTGCACACTTGGAAGGGACCTCAGAGGTCATCTAGTCCAACCCCCTGCTCAAGCAGGAGACCCTAGACCAGTCCAGACAAATGGCTGTCCAGTTTCTTCTTGAAAACCTCGGATGGGGATGGGGAACCCACAACTTTTCGGTCCCAGTGCTTTCCAGGAGTATTGGACTACAGTTCCCATCATTCCCAGACAGGATCGGTGCACCCTCCATGTGTTGGCCCTGTTTTCTGTTCAAAGGATTCTGTTTAGCTGGCTGGCAACATTTCGGAGGAATTGCTGAGAATTTCCCTGAGTGCCGTATAGACCTTCCCTTGCCCCCTGGTCCCAGCACGATTCCTGACGGGGCCCAATCGCAGCTCTGAGTGCGAGTGTCGTGCAGCAAAGCTCTGCCAGGGATTGTTCCCACTTGCAGGCTGTTCGATCTGGTCTGAGCCCTTAGGATGGGATGTGCAAAATAGGGCAACTGTGGGAAGTAATCCCAGCTGAAATAAGATCCTTGCTCTTCTTCTCTCTCTCTCTCTCTCTCCCTCCCTCCCTCTCTCTCTTTTCCTTCCTTCCTTCCTTCCTTCTCTTTTTCTTTCCTTCCCTTCCACCCTCTTTCTTTCTTTTGTAATATCATTTCTCTTTCCCTCCCTCCCTCTGTCTCTTTCTCTCTCTTTCCCTCCTCTCTCACTCTCTTTTCTTCCTTCCTTCCCTCCTTCCTTCCTTCCTTCCTTCCTTCTCTTTTTCTTCCTCCCTTCCTTCCCTTCCACCCTCTTTCTTTCTTTTGTAATATCATTTCTCTTTCCCTCTTTCCCTCCCTCTGTCTCTTTCTCTCTCTTTCCCTCCTCTCTCACTCTCTTTCCTTCCTTCCTTCCTTCCTTCCTTCCTTCCTTCCTTCCTTCCTTCCTTCCTTCCTTCCTTCCTCCCTCCCTCCCTCCCTCCCTCTCTCTCTCTCTCTCTCTCTCTTTCTTTCTCCTGTTCTTTTTCTTTTTCCTTCCTTCCTTCCTCTCCCCCTCCCTCCCACCGCAGGGTGGAGTTCACCGTGGGGGAGAAGCCCATCAGCAACTTCCGCATGATCGAGAGGCACTATTTCCGGGACCAGCTGCTCAAGAGTTTCGACTTCCAGTTTGGCTTCTGCATCCCCACCAGCAAGAACTCCTGCGAGCACATCTACGAGTTCCCCCAGCTCTCCGAGGACCTCAGTAAGCGGGGGTGGGGGGTGGGGGTGGGGCTAGGGTGGGGGTGCTTGGGGTTTGGGCTGCCTCCGGCCAAGCGGGCCGGCCACGGCTGACCTCCCCCCTCCCGGCTTCCTTCCCAGTCCAGGAGATGATCCTTCACCCCTACGAGACGCAGTCGGACAGTTTCTACTTTGTGGACAACAAGCTGGTGATGCACAACAAGGCCGACTACTCCTACAGTGGGGGGCCCTGACCCCCCCTTCCCCTCCCGATGGGGGTCCGGGAGCCTCGACTCGCCGGCCGGCTGCAAGACGGGCAGCCGGATTGGACTCTGCGTGGAACCGGCCTCTGAGACTGACTAGCTGAAGCTCTCCCTCCCCCATGATGCCCCCCCCGGACTTTGGAGGCAGCGCCCCTCATCCCCTGCCTTGGGGAAGTGGGGGAAACCGTGACCCCACCCTCCGTAGCTGCCAGGCATTGAGGCGCTCCCAGTAGCTCCTTGTCTCCCTATTGTTGGGGAAGGGTCTTCCTCGAACCCCCTCTCGTGCTTGGGGGGATCATTTTGGTAGAAATTCTACTCCCCCCTCCCCCACCCAAGAAGATCAGCAGGAATCGTGGGAACTCCAGAATGACACAGCCCCCCCCCCCTCATTCCCAGCTCCGAATGTCCATGGGCAAAGACCCCAGACCCATTTGTTTTGGTTGCTGTTTTTGGCTCAGTCCTCCAGGGGTGGGGGCAGCCAAAGACTCTATTGGGAGGGTCTCTCCTGGTGGGCCCCCTTTGCCGTCTCGGTGGGAAAAGGGGAGGGGGCTTCTGCTGTTGCTGCTGCAAAAGGGCTCCTGAAACCATGTTTGATGTGGTGGGTGAATAGAAGACATGCTTTCTCCAACCCTCGTCATTGGACTTTTCCTCCCCCAAAACCCCCGAGGACCCCCAAAATGCTCTGTGGGCATCCATCTTCGGAAAGGAACAGGCTCTGCTTCCTCTCCTTCCTGGGGAGGCCTGGGGGGGTCTTTTTGTAGAGAAAGAGGCATGGTTCACCTCCCTAAGCCCCTCTTGTCTTGCATTTGGGGAAGGGTTTCCAAAGTGGGCGGGGGGGAGCACCCTTCACTTCCCCTCTGGGTTCCTGAAAGAGCTGCTTCGCCAGGGGGGGGTTTGAGGGAGCTTTAGTTTGTGTCCTGTGGGTGTTGCGTTCGGAGTGTGATTGTTCCGGAGTGTGTTGTGATGGGTGTTTGCCGGGTGTGATTTAAAGTCCATTTGGTGGTCGCCACCCAAGTATGATCGCACCATCCAAGTGTGACTTTCTCCATCTCCTGCAGAGACCCGTGATCGACACTTGTGGTTGTGTTACATCCGACACAATCTGCATGGGTGCCTCACCCGTAAAAGCCGAGCTTCGTTCTTAGACAGAGGCAACCTGTGAATTGGGGAGGGGGATGTGAGGAGGGGAAGGGCCCCTTGGGGCGTGTGGCACCAGCTGAGAAGCTGCCACTTTCTTCTGTGGGGGGGGCACTAAGAAACCCCCAGTTGGGCAAAGGAAGCACCCCCACCCCCACCTCAAAGATCAGGTAGCCTCTCGCAAGGTGGGCTTGTCAATATTTGGGGGACGCTGTGTCCGGCTTCTGTGGGGTCAAAGTTACAGCCTGGCTGTGGGTCAACTGGAACTTTTGGAAATGGCCACAAAGATTCTCCGTCATCCAGGCAGAGATGATCAAAGCCTGGGAAGAACGGCTGCAGGATTTGGGTTTGGCCGGTCTAGAGAAAAGGAGGACGACGACAGGTGATACGATAGCCGTCTTCCAATATTTGAGGGGCTGCCAGAAAGAGGAGGGGCTCCACTTATTCTCCAAAGCCCCTGAAGGCAGGACAAGAAGCCGTGGATGGAAACTGATGGAGGAGAGAAGCAACCTGGGACTAATTTCCTGACAATTGCAGTTAACTGGTGGAACGGCCTCCCTCCAGAGGTGGTGGCTGCTCCATCCCTGCAGGTTTTTAAGAAGAGGTGTCTGGAAGGGTCTAGGGCACGGGTGTCAAACTTGGGTCGTCATGGTGTTGTCACGTGACATATCGCGACTTTTTCCTCCTTCGCTCAACCGGGTGTGGGCATGGCCAACGTGTGATGCATCTGGGCCACAGGCTATGAGTTTGACACCCCTGGTCTAGGGTCTCTTGCTTGAGCAGGGGGCTGGACTAGAAGACCTCTAAGGTCCCTTCCAACTCTTAGGATTCTGTGAGGGAGGAAGGAAGGAAGGGCAATGCATGGAAACTAACCAGAGAGAGAAGCAACCTGGAATTAAGGAGAAACTTCCTGACAGTGAGGACAATTAACCAGTGGAACAACCTGCCTCCAGAAGTGGTGGTTGCTCCAACACTGGAAATTGTAAAGAAGAGATTGGACAACCATTTGTCTGAAAATGATATCGGTTCTCCTGCTTGAGCAGGGGGTTGGACTAGAAGACCTCCAAGGTCCCTTCCAACTCTTAGGATTCTGTGAGGGAGGAAGGAAGGAAGGGCAATGCATGGAAACTAACCAGAGAGAGAAGCAACCTGGAATTAAGGAGAAACTTCCTGACGGTGAGGACAATTAACCAGTGGAACAGCTTGCCACCAGAAGTTGTGGGTGCTCCATCACTGGAGGTTTTTAAGAAGAGATTGGAGAACCATTTGTCTGAAATGGTGTAGGTTCTCCTGCTTGAGCAGGGGGCTGGACTAGAAGACCTCCAAGGTCCCTTCCAGCTCTATCCTGTTTCTGATTCTGAATCAGAATCGCATGAAGGTTGCCCGAAGATTGAAATGTTGCAACTCAACTGATTTTTAGACCTTCCAACAACCTTCAGAGGTCTTTGCCTGGATGATTGAGAGCCTCCATGGACATTTTTCAATGCATTTGGGGGAAGGACCCCCAGAGGTTGGTGTGGCAGGAGCTGGTCCACTCTTAACAACTCTCTGGCTACCCACCTGGCTCTGACGGAGGAAACTGCCTGGATGGGCAGCAAAACGTCTCTGAAGCTATCCTGAAGCTGCTTTTTTTCCAAGAGGCAACTGGACTTTCTGGTTTTTCTTTGAAGACCTTTCACTTCTCACCCAAGAAGCTTCTTCAGCTCTGACTGGATGGTGGGGAAGGGAAAGATTGATACTCCTTGCAGATAGCTGGTCATTGGCATCCTTTTTAGAGCAGTGTTTCTCAACCTTGGAAGCTTGAAGATGGGTGGACTTCAACTCCCAGAATCCCCCAGCCAGCGCTGCTGGCTGGGGGATTCTGGGAGTTGAAGTCCACCCATCTTCAAGCTACCAAGGTTGAGAAACACTGTTTTAGAGGGTCGTTGAGGCCACTTGGGGGTTTCTCTGTGCTGCCAGGGTCACCTGAGGGGTGCAACTCTCTGCAACTAAAAATTAGTCCAGTTATGACAATTCAATCTTCAGACGGTTTCAGGCAATCTTCAGATGCATTTGGAGTCGTGGTCAGCATCCCTCTCCACTGGGCAGCAGCCTTGTGCTGCAGGAAGGCCAAATAAAAATGGGGGGGGGGACTCTGTGCCACCGAGTTCTGGAAGTTGCCACCCCCACACACCCCCGGGGAGGGAGCTGATGTGCTTTGGCTGTAAAAGCAGAGGCTGAAAAGATAAGGGGGGGAAGGAGCTTTACTGGTGGTGTCCTGCTCTGAAAGTTTGGCCAGCTTTATCAAATCGAGGCTGACCTGATAGTAAATGTCTGTATTTTATTCTGAATAGAACCTGGAGTGCCCCCCAAAAACACAGCACGCAAAATGATGCATGAAGGAATCCTCTCCTTGTGGCTCATTCTGCTCTTTGACTGCCCCCACAACCCCCCCACCATCAGGGAAAACGGATCAACCCCCCCAAAAAAAATTTCTCTCTGGCTGTTGCTAGGACCTGTCTCTGCTTCTGCCCAGTTCCAGGATCTGTTGGTGACTGATCCAACTCTGGAGTTGTGGGGAGGCCTCATTCTGTCCCCCCCCTCACCTCTGCCAGGAAAGGCAAATGGGCAGAAATGGTTGGGGGAGGGGGGACTATTTGGCTAGGAAAAAACTAGTGGGAGGGGGAGGGGAAGGAGGAAGACTGTGGGGTCCTTGGTGCTCTCTGAGCTTGGTGGTTTTCTTGCAGATGTTTCATGACCCAACTAAGTAATGTCATCAGTGCTAGGAAGGAAGGAAGGAAGGAGATGGGAGGGTGGGTGGATTTGGGAGGTTTTTAAGAAGAGATTGGTCCATCACTTGCTTGAAATGGTCTGGGGTCTCCTGCTTGGGCAAGGGGTGGGACTAGAAAACCTCCAAGGTTCTTTCCAAAGTTGTTCTTCGGGAGGGAGGGAAGAAGGAAAAGAAAAGAGAAGATTCCCTCCACTCCTCACTTTCTGTGGCTGGGCTGCCATGCTTGTCTCCTGGAGAGGTGGCTGAGCAGGTAGCCCAATTCTTTATCCCAGGTTGAGCTGGGAGGAATTTACGCCCAGCACATTTCGTTCCCTTCCCTCGGACAGCTAAGAGGCTCAGGCAGGGAGGGACTAAAAATAGGCGTCTCGGGCTGCTGGTGGTGGTGGGTCGCCCAGGCAGGTGCCAGGCATGGCCTTGCCAGGTCCCTCGCCGGCCTGAGAGCCTCGCTTGCCAGCTTATTAAAAATAACCTTCAGAGAGAGAGAGATGGAAGTGCCAAGTCAGGCGAAGACGTCACCTTATTCTGTACCCTAAGAGGGCTTGGAAACGAACCCGAATGGAAGTGAATAGAAAAGAACCCGTGGGAGAACCAGGAGCCTCAGTCTGGGTGGCACTGAAGGCGGGTGAGGGGGCATGGTCTTTGGTTGTCCGAAGACAAGGAGGAAACCGTCCATTTGGTCCAGCCTGCCCTGCCCAGTTGGCCATCGGACGGTGCTGGTGCCCAAGGGGTGGAGAGCCAGGTGGACCCTGCTTCCTCCTGGTCCAAGGGGCTCCTGTTTCCCTAGTTCAGAGATTTGCTGCCTGGCGTTGAGGGCATGGGGGGTCCTGGGCATTGCTTAAAGGCTGGGATGGGCTCGGGGGTCTTCGGATCCTTGGATGAGAAAGCCAATATCCATGGGAGGGGTCCTAGCTGAGGACTGCCTGGGGTGGGTTAACTTTGAGATCCTGCTTGCTGCTATTTTGAGGGTGTTCTTTCCCCCCCACACACCCACCTCTCTCGACCAGATTCTGAATCAGCAGAAGGTACAGAATACTGGAGTTGGAAGGGACCTTGGAGGTCTTCTAGTCCAACCCCCTGCTCAAGCAGGAGACCTTCTACGATTCCAGACAAATGGCCGTCCAATCTCTTCTTGAAAACCTCCAGTGATGGACTCAATTGTACTCTGGGTGATTCATGCACGTGTGAACACATTTGGTGGGAATTGCTGTGTGTGGGTTGCAGAGTGTTTTGGACCGTCCAGTGGGATGCTGAGGAGGGGGCTTCCAAGCAGAGCGTCTGTGGAATTGGGATCGTAGAAACACCCAGGAGCATAGAAGAGTTCAGAGGCAGATGCATAAATAAATATCTTAAACGTATTTATTCATATGATAAACCATATTAACTATGTACAACAGAGATCAAGTCTCATGAGGAACAAAGAGAGAGATGGAGAGAGCGAGGTGGAAAAGGTTGGAGGGGGTTTTATACTCAAGGTAAGCCCCTCCTTTCCACATAGGGGTGGAGACACTCTCTGCCTCCACTGGTGTCTATATGACACATGTGCCAATGGCTTGCCAATACTTGACAGGGTCACTGTGATGCCCTGGATTTAGGAGGTGCCCATGGTCCCCCACTCTCAGCCCTGCTGGTCGGGTGGCCATTGCTGGATTCTGGGGCACCGGGAGCCCCACCATGACCCCCTCTAAAGCATACAACCTTCGCCAGCTGGATGCACAGATAATCCAGTGAGGGAGGATAATTAAATCAGGCTTAGAGTTGATGCGCAGCCACCTTCCTTGCAAGGTGCGAGAGCCCAAAATACAACAAGGCCAGGCGTGCAAGGCGACCTTGGCTGCCCTCCCACTCCTGCGTAATGGGGAGGCTTTTCACCCCTCCCCAAATGTGACCTGCACGAACAAAGTATTGCCTTGGAAGTTCAAACAGGCAAAATAAGAAAAGCTGCCCTCCGGTCTGTTTTTAGTCCCCTGTGGTGAACATTGGTCCCATTTGCACTGATGATGTTACCTAGTTGGGTCATGAAATGTCTGCAAGAGACGAGAGAGCACCCAGGGCCCCCCAATTCACCCCTGAGCTATAAATATTCCCCTTTCTTGTCTGCTAGCTAGACTGACTGTCCGTGTTTTATTGTGCTGTCCGCTTGCCAGGGAGAAAACCCCCCATTGGCTGGCTGTGGATGCTGGGCCTTTTTGCTCCTGGTGGTGTGGTTAATGAGCCACAGCAGCACCGCCTGGATGGGAGCATCCTTCTTTGGAAAACAGGAACGGAGAGATCCTCCGGTCTTTCAAATCCAGGTCTGGCTCTTTGGGAAACGGGGGATGCTCTCCGGAGGTCTCCTTCGTAGCTGAAGGTCATGGAGAAGATGCATGTGGGGAGTCCAAGGGGGTGGGTGATCGGGGGGGGGCATCTGCCAAGGGTGGGTGGGGGCTGGCCCCAAGCACAGACCTTTGAGGCTACAGAGATCATGGAGAAAACAGGCTAAAAAAGAGAGCCGTTTGCCTCAATGCTGGCTGGGGAATTCTGGGAGTTGCAGTCCACACATCTTCAAGTTCCCACGGTTTAAAAGCACTACTTTAAAGCATGTTGCTTTGCATTTCCAGCACAGGCACCCACAAAAATCTCCCACGCATCTTTTAGCAGAACTACATGAAATTAAAAATTATTTATTTTAAATAAATATTTTTCTCAAACTACTGGGACTTTTGCCGGGGCTTCCATGGCCCGAGAAACATCTAAAACCTATTGTAGGTTTCCATCTGTACTGGAATTTGAGCCCCCTCCTCAGCCTAGGAAGCCACCCCCTAGGTTTAAAGTCTGCCCCTCCACATAGTTATTTAAAAGCACAACCGGGATAATGCACGGATCGTATTTCCTCTCTCAGGAACGGACTGCGTTGACTCCCTCGGCTCTGAGGCGAGGCGGGTCTTCCTTGGGCGAAGACCATTTTCTTACAGAAAAGATTAATATATATTTAAAGCTGTAATAAAAAGAAGCATGTTCCACCAGGTATCCTGTGCTTGGAGTTTGGTTTTAAAGAAGGAAATGGGTGGGTGCCCCCCATCAGCTGCTATCCACCACTCCCCACAACCTCTGTGTTGGCTGTGGCTTATGGGTCTGGAGTGAGGCTTGGGTTTGGTTGGGCCATGAGACCCCCCTGGCGGCATCCCATCTGAAGAGGAGCTTAATGAATTTCAAGGCAAATAGGAAAAGTTTAAGAATGTTGGACAGAACAATCTTTCCTTCCTTCCTTCCCTTCTTCCTCTCCTCCTCCTCCTCCTCCCCCCTCAACTTCAGATGTCAAGGGAAGTACACGTTTCAGTAACGGTAACAGAGTTGGAAGGGACCCTGGAGGACATCTAGTCCAACCCCCTGCTCACGCAGGAGACCTATACTAGGGATTCGAACTGCCGACCTTTCACATCGACAAATTCAGCATCTTAGCCGCTGAGCCACCTAGCCAGGCTATTTCTAACAGGTAGTGCTTGGAAAAAAAAAAGGATGCAAGATATCGCAGAGGTTCTCCTGCCCATCCTTACATCTGGACCCCCAAATATCCGCCCCCTTCAAATGGGGGCACTGTACTGCTGACAGACCCCAACCCTTTTGACAGCGAAGGAGCCCCAAAACCTCTCCATGAAACTATTGCTCAGACATGATGGTGGGGGCGGTGTGTGTCCTGCTTCGTTTGGGGGTGAACCGGGATGGGCCTCCCTCACCCCTGAGCCCCAGGGGGGCAGCTGTCCATGTGGGGGGGGCATGGGGGGCAGTTGCTGCTGCTTAGGGACTGGCTAGTTTGTGGGTCAGTGCACTGGACTGCCGCCGATGACCTCACGCATTGCATAAATCCAGTTAACAGGATTAACGGGGGGGGTTCTAGTCTGACCCTGTGTAACTTGCAGAGCCTCTGATGGACGCCTGGAATCCGATGGGGATCTGGGTGCCTGCTGGGCTTACACCTGAGTAGCTGCTCCCTCTCGGCCGATGCCGAGACCCCCTCAGTTTGCTGAGGACCCTGAAGAGGATGATGCCAGGGTACCGGGGAGGGGGGGCAGGTAGCCAGTCTTAGAATAAAATAGAATAGAGCTGGAAGGGACCTTGGAGGTCTTCTAGTCCAGCCCTCTGCTCAAACAGGAGAACTTATACCATTTCAGAAAAGTGACTGTCCAGTCTCTTCTTAAAAACCTCCAGTGATGGAGTGCCGATTTCAGGTGGCATGCGGTTCCACTGGTTAATTGTCCTCACTGTCTGGGCAAGCACAGGGTAGATTGAGCCGCCTTGAGTCCCATATCTCATCTCTCTTGGCTTGAGCCAGAAGCTCCTTTGTGGTGGGCACTCCTTGCACGCCTCGGGGCAGAGGAGCACCAGCAGATCAAGAGAAACCGGCACCTTGGCACCGTGCTTTCTTTCATTCTTTCATTCATTCTTTTATTCATTCATTCATTTGTTTGTCCAATTTATATGCTGCCCTTCTCCGTAGACTCAGGGCGGCTTACAATGCATTATAGCAATAGCCTGCATACTTTTTTGTATATACCTGCTTATTAGGGCTTTTGCCCCCCCCCCAAGCGGTGTTGTTCTATACAAAGTAGGCTTATTGCCCCCACAATCCGGGTCCTCAATTTACCTACCTCGCAAGGATGGAAGGCTGAGTCAACCTTGAGCCTGGTGAGATTCGAACTTGCACTAATTGCAGGCAGCTGGCCGCTAAGTGCTAGCACTTAACAGCACTTAGTCCTCTGCACCACCGAGGCTTTTGCTGCCCTCTGCCTCGTCTTGACTCTTTAGAGTAGAGCCTGAAGGGGCCCCCAGGCAGACCCTGGTCCACTCCAAGGGGGGGCCTTTGCTCCTTCCAGAGGAAAACACCCCTCCCTCCCGCTCTGCTTTCTCCCAAGAAAAGCAAATAGGAAAACTAAAACAGAAGAAAAACGGTTGCAGGACTTGGATTTGGCCAGTGGAGAGAAAAGGAGGAGAAGGGGGGGATGGACATGATAGCAGGTTCCAGTATTTGAGGGGCTGCCCCAAAGAAGAGGGGGTCCACTTAGCTTCCAGAGAGCAGGACAAGAAGCAATGGATGAAAACTAACCAGAGAGAGAAGCAACCTGCAATTAAGGATAAATTTCCTAACAGTGAGAACAATTAACCAGTGGAACTACTTGCCTCCAGAAGTTGTGGGTGCTCCATCACTGGAGGTTTTTAAGAAGAGACCAGACAGCCATTTGTCTGGAATGGTATGGAGTCTCCTGCTTGAGGAGGGGGTTGGAAAAGAAGACCTCCAAAGCCCATTTCAGCTCTATTCTGTTCTCTGTCGCGCTTCCCTAAAGAGGCCACTAGATGGCGCCAAAGGAACCACCACAGTAACTTCCACAGCCTCACCAGTCAGTAGCTCCACTAGAGGGCGTCCTTCCCTTTAAAATGAACGGTGCAAATAGAGAATTTATTGCGCTGAGTTTTGATAAAATCCAGAGTGCTGGGAAGTGGAAGAAAAGAAGCTGTGAGATGAATACCCTTTGCAGGGTTTCATTAAAGGTGAAAACTGAGATTGTTGTACATTAATCAAGCATCCCTTGGGTGTGAAACGGGGGGGGTGGGGGTGGGAGGGGTTCCAACCTGGGCCACTTGAAGACTTGTGGACTTCAACTCCCAGAATTCCCCAGCTAGCTAGACCAAGGGTGTGCAATGCTGGCCACTTTAAGGCTTGAGGACTGCCAAGTGGCTCAGGCTGGCCACCCCTGGGGAAAATGCACCCTGGAGATGCAAGTTGCATAAATAAAACTCCTTCGAAGGTCTCCCCAAAGATTTTGCCCCTTTCCTCACCACCTTTGGACCTACTTTTGTCTTTGTAAGATTAAAGTGGCCGAGAGGGTGAAGACTTTGGTCCAAAGTTCTACATTCCTGATCTGTACGTTAATAAGAGCATTTTATAAAATTGCTTCAGACGAACATGGTCTCCTGGGAGGTTTGCCCCCATCCATCGTCTGTCTTTGGAGCACCAGGTGCTGGGTGGGGCTCAGTTTTCCTAGGCTACGGCGCCTGGCTTCCTCCTGGCGCTACGTCTTCCTCCCTGCCAGCCTTACCCAAGTGAGTTGTGTTGGGTCTTCAGTCCTGGCACCACCTGGGTAAGGCAGCCTCTCCTTCCTCCCTTCCCCTTCCCTTCCCCTCCCTGGGCTAGTTTTTGAACATGCATCCAGAAAGCTCATTTGAACACTGTTTTGCAAACGGCATCACTGGTGGTCTCGGTCCTTTGTCTGCAAGACAGGTGGCCAGTTAGTTTTTCCAGGGTGCCACATGAGCATCTGGGACTCATCCATTGTGGAGGGCTGGGAAAGGCATGCACACCTGAACATACGTACATTGGGGGAAAAAAGCAGTTGCCTTCAAAAATAAACAATCCCTGCGGCCGGACAGGGACAGCCAAAGGGCCAGAGAGCTGTAAAATGCCCAGGTCTGGTCTGGAGTCTCGGCCAAAGTGCTTTCTGATGATCCTGGCTTGTGGTGAGCCGTTCCTTGGTCCCTGGCACCGTGAGCTGATGCAGGATGAGGGCACTTCAAGAGGCACTTAGGTAGGGCTGGAGGAGCTGGTGGCCCCGGTGCTGGGAAGCCCGGCTTTTGGTTTGCAGAACTTGGTGAAGGATTTCAGCCAAACTATGCCCTCCCCTCCCCTCCCCCCCTCGGTCTGGCTCGGGGTCTAAACCAGAGCAACGGGTTTGGAGCCCGGAGGGTTCAGGTAGGCGGGGGCCGGTCCCGTGTCCAGCTCCAGGAAGGCAGAGTAAAGCGTGGTCAGTTGGACGTCGGGTAAGTCCTGGTGCTGGGGGAGCTTGTCACCGCTGTGGTTGGCATCCGCCAGGCAGGGGGCCAGGAAGTCCGGCTGGGCAGCTGTCGGGGAGGCCGAGATGAGCCCCAGGGGCTCCACCGCCAGGCTATCGTCCTTCAGCGCCTCCCAAAGGTTCCCTGCAGGGAGGGTTGACAAGAGGCCAAATGGGACGGGGTTGATGCAAGGAGTGGGGGGACCAGCTTCCTCTCCCCCCCAAGGAAAGCTGGGAAGGGCTCAGTGGGCGGGGGGAAAGGGGCATACAGTACAGGTAGTCCTTGACTTATAACCATTCATTTAGTGACTGTTCAAAGGAGTGGTGCGGTGGCCTAGAGGTGGCGCTCTTGCATCCCAATCAGGAGGCTGTGAGTTCAATCCTAGGTAGAGGCAGATATTTCTCACTCTGGGCACAAAGGGAATGTATCTGCTCAACAAAACTCCGCATTGGAGACAGGAAGGGCATCCGGCCAGTAAAAAACACTCTGCTGGCTCCATTCAGTTGCCCAGACTCCACCCCGCAAGGGATTATGGGGTCGGTAAAAGAGGATGATGACCATTCAAAATTACAACGGTGAAAAAAAAGTGACTGATGGCCGTTTTTCACACTTATGGCCACTGCAACATCCCCATGGTCACATGATCAGACGCTTGGCCACTGACTCATATTTACGACAGTCCCAGTGTCCCAGGGTCATGTGATCCCCTTTGCGCCCTTCTGACCAGCCAAGTCAATGGGGAAGCCAGATCCACTTAACAGCCGTGTTACTAACTTAACAATTGCAGTGATTCACTTAACAACCAGTGCCAGGAATGGTGATAAAATGGGGCGAAATTCACTTGACAACTGTCTCGCTTAGCATTTGGGGGCTGAATTGTGGTCGTAAGTCGAGGACTACCTGTATGGAGAAAGGGGAGAATTGGCAGTCCTCGTTACCCTCGTTTGGGGACGAAGTTTGTGACCAGCCCTCTGAGAGAGCGAAGCCGTGCCCAGGCCACCTGCATCTGTGCCAGCCATAAAGAGAGAGTTTGGATTGTGCCACCGTCCCCCATGGCTGCCCTTGCCAGAGCTGACCGGATGGCAGTCGGGCTTGGCAAGCAGAGTCAGGCTGCCCCCCTTTCTCTCAGCCGCTCCCCGCAAATTGCTTTTGGAAGGCTGTGGGGCCGAGAGGCAGACTCAGGGGCGGGGGTGGGGGTGGGGAGAGCCCTCTGGTGGTCCATGCAGAGCGAAGGGCTACCTTGCAGGTCGAACCCGGTGATGGAGGGGTTCAAGGCATCGACATCCATGCTGAGGTCGCCGTCCAGCAGCAGCAGCTCCGGCCGGGAGGGCACCAGCATCTTCATCCCGCATGCGGGGGGGCTCTGGGCCGGCAGAGGGGAGGGCAGAGCCCCCTGCCCATTCTGGGCATCTGTGGTGGTGGTGGTGGAGAATGCAGTGAGTGTTCAGCAATGGTTGGGGTGCGGGCCCCCTCCCTGCTCCCCGCTTCCCTGAAAGCGGTGGGCCCGCTCCTCGCTCCCTGCTCTCCCACTTCCCCAGAAGATGGGTGGGCCCGCTCCCCTGCGCCCACTCCCTACTGCCCCAAGGATGGGCGGGCCCACTCCCTTGCTCCCCACTTCCTCGGAGGAAGATTGGGGCTGCTCCCCCCCTACTCCCTCTGCTGGGGGAGGTGCAAGGGGGTGGAGGCTCACAGAGAGGCAGTGGCTGGAGCGGCATCTGGCCAGAGACGGAGGGGCCCCCGGCCCCAGCTGGACTGCAGGACAGGAGTTTCTCTGGCTTGTCCCCAATCAGCACCTCCAGTTCTTCTAAAAAATGGGAAGGAAACATCAGCATCAAAGAAGAGTTTTCAGGGTGGATCTGCCCCCTTCTGCCCCCTCAAAGCCTCCTGCTCCTCTGCCCGAGGCCCCTCAGAAGCGCCTGGGGTGGGTATGTGTGAAGCTCTATCCGGAATTGGGGTCATTCAGCCTCCTGTACCATCTTCCCTTCTTGACCGGCCTTTCTTTGATGGTGAAAAGCTTCTAATCAGCCTAAGGGGTTTTTCTTCCAATGGTTTTAACAGATACACAGCCCAAGGACCGACTAGATGCTCAGGGCTGCATTTTGCAGGGGCCTCTTGTACTGCTCTCTATACTTCTGCAGCCAAACACCTTCAGCCCTTGAATCTTAACTAACTGACAAGTCAAACAATGTTGGCTTACCCAAAGCTGCTTTTTCAAAAGGCAGCCGGACTTTCTTGAGTTTTTTTCCTTGAAGACGTTTCACTTCTCATCCAAGAAGCTTCTTCGGTTCTGACTGAAGGGTGGGGAATGGAACCGAAGAAGAACTGAAGAAGCTTCTTTGGTGAGAAGTGACACGTCTTCAAGGGGAAAAAAGCAACTTTGGGACAACCAGATGATCTGGATGATGGAGAATCTCTATAGAGAATGTTGGGTTACCTGTTGAATGAATTCGCTTTCTGCTTGCTTGCTTTGATTAGTTCCTAGATTGCTTACATGATCAAATTAGCTCCCTGATTGACTATGTGAGAGGCATTCTCAGAAAATTGGGATTACTTTGTGGTTCCTCCTGGCTGCCCCCCCCCCGCTTCCCCCTAGCTTCAACCTCCTTATATGACTATAATTCTTTTGCCCTGGGGGGAGGGAAGGTCGGTCCAGCCATTCCTGGCAAATTAAGTAATAAAACCTGATGGGGAACCAGCTGTTTCTCTCGCCCTCCCACCTGCTGCAGAAGGGAGACCCCCCCTCCCGCCAAACAGGGGGGGGAGCCTCAGTCCCTCCTGCTCCTCCTGCCTCTCTCTGCCTTGGCGCCTGGCACTCTTGGGGGCTGCTTCCCAGCGAGGGCCCTCTGGCACCCGGAGCACGGAGGCCAGCTCTGCCAGCGGGCCCCTACCTGGCTTGGCCATGCTTTTCCGGACGGCCACGGGGTCCTTCCTTCTCCACTTCTGCAGCTCTTCCTGCATCTTGTCAATCTTGGCTGGGTTGAGGGCCCACAAGCAGCCTTTCCTGGAGGAGCTGCCCGTCTTGTTCTCCACTTTCTCAAAGCATTTATTCAGAGACAGGTTGTGCCGGACCGAGTTTTTCCAACCGTCCGGAGCCGTCTAGAGCAACAGAGCAGAAACGCACCATTCAGACAGCTGCAGTTTGAGGGAAATGCTTGCAGGGAAGAGGAGGAGGAGGAGGAGGAAAGGGACTGTGGAGTTCTTCGTGCTTTCTGAACTTGTTTTCTTGCAAACTTTTCATTACTCAATACTGAGAAGATGTTCCTAATTGGGTTGTGAAATGTTTGCAAGAAAGCTATCGAACTCTGAGAACACCAAGGACCCCACAGTCTTCTTCTTCCTCCTCCTCCTCCTCCTCCTCCTCCTCCTCCTCCTCCTGCTGTTCGGGACTCTCTTCCAGGATGCTTTTAAAAACAGCAGCTGCACCTTCTGCTCCTCCCAAAGATACACCTGTCTGCATCGTTTGGGACATGAAAATGCTCGCCCAGGTCGAACTCACGATGGTGAGGTTGTCGTTGTTGCTGATAGAGATTGTCCCTGTGGCTTTTCTTTTTATCTCACCATAACAAGGAATAAGGCAGAATTGCAGAATTCTGAGAAAGAAAGTCATCAGATGACAAGATAGACGCTGGCATGGCAGGACCTGCTGATGAATCAAAGATGAAGGGCGTAGCAAAAGCCACGGATGCTGAAACCCCAACTCTTCAACCCAGCTAGCAAACACTCCTGGGTAGACAAGGGGACAACATACTAACAGATGGGTCCAATCTGAGAAGGGGGCTGGACTAGAGAACCTCTAGGGTCTGCTCCAACTCTATGATTCACTGAAAAAGCGAAGGATTCACAGCGAGGCCAAGAAAAGAGCAAAGGCTGCAACTGGTAGCAAGTTGCGTTGAGAAGGTTCTCCACGAGAGACGCTGTGCCAGAACACTATTCAGATGAGCCCAAACTCACGGCAGCAACCCCGAACATCAGGGAAAGGGAAGAGACGGTGTCTTTCAACAAAGTGGAGGAGATCCTTTGCAGCTTGATCAGAAAATGGTATAGGATCTCCTGCTTGAGCAAGGGGTTGGACTAGAAGACCTCCAAGGTCCCTTCCTGCTCTGTTATTCTGTAATAAATCACATCCACAAACACCAACTAGGACTCTGAAGTGAGGTGAAAGTGAAAGTGAAAACTCCTTGATTTCACAACACATGGACAGATTTAACCCTAGTTTCAGCCGGGAAATAGCGACCGTCTTAGACCAAGTCGAGTGGAGAATTCCTGGAAGCCTGGCCCTCAGACAAATCAGCCATCCACAGGCACACAGATATAAACAACATTTACATACCATTCCAAAGAAACAGAAAGGAAACCAAAGGACCAAAACACCTCCTCACCTGCGATCAACACCCAGATAAGCAGAGATGAAAACCAAGAATTACCTTAGACTAACCATCAAGAAGTAAACAAAATCCCAATCAAGGAACTGCCAACTCAGACAAACAAGTTAACCGTAAACAACTCAAGGAACCACCGACAATACTCCCACCAACAGGGCAAATTGCTTGCATATAAACAGGGAGCAACCCCCCCCTCTAGCACTGGTGATGTTACCTGGTTTGGTAATGAAATGTCTGCAAGAAAACGACTAAACTCAGAGAGCACCAAGGGGTTCAGTCTTCCTCCGCCTCCTCCTCTCTGCAAACCCCCTCCCCTTCTAGCACTGATAATGTTACCTAGTTAGGTAATTAAACGTCTGGAAACAAACCACCAAGCTCAGAGAGCACCAAGCACCCCTCATTTCAACCCCGAGCTACAAATCTTCTCCTCTCTCAGTGCCGGATCACTGGATGGGTTCTCAGCGCAGAATCAGGCCCTGCGGCCCTGAATGTTGGGGGTTCCCTAAGGCTCCCTTAGGCAGTGGCAGGCCTTCCAGACCAGCTGGGCTGGGGATGCTGGTGGCCTCCACTGCAGGCTCGTGAGATGCCAAGGTCCTGATGCAGCTCTGGGATCCTCTGCACCCGGGGCCCCCTTTCAACGGGTGATGCCGGGACCTCCGCTGGGGACATGGAGCCGCCCTGCTTCTCTGCTGAGAGGCTGCCGCTTGGTGAGCTGAGAAAACAGTTTTTCCAGGCACAGAAGCTCTCCGGCCTCCGCCTGCCGCCTGCCAACGGCTCTCAAAGGCTGGCAATGCTTGCGCAGCAGATGGGGCAATCTCGGGAAGGTGGTTGCCTTCAGGGCAAAAACAGGAGGTGTTTCTTTTGCTGGAAAAGGTGTGCTAATTACGCCTCTCCTGCCCAATGGCCGCTCCCGCTGAAAGTGTGTTTTCTTCCCGGGTAATGGGAGCCGCAAAGGCTCCCCTCCCCTCCCCTCTGGGGAGCTGACGATTAAACCCAATCCCACAGGCAATTAGTCACAGGAGAGGCAACCTCGTCTGCAGAAAAGGTGCTAGGAAGATGAAGGAGGCCGGCAGGACAATTAACGCAGGAAGGCCCAGATCCTGAGGATAACAAACAGGAAGTCCTTGATTTACAGCCACAATTGAGCCCGGCATTTTAAGTGAGTGGCACCTCATTTTAGGGCCCTTTTATGCCGCGGTGGTTAAGTGAATCATGCAGTCGTTAAGTGAAAGCCTGCTGGGAAGATTGAAAACGGTGGTCACGTGACCCCGGGAGAGTTTGGCCCCACTGAAGATTCTTCTCCAAATTTGGAGTTAGTTTTTTTTTTAATTATATTACATTAATCATATTAATTATATCATATTACAGTGTATGGCATTGTATTGTATCGTACAGGTGGTCCTCGACTTACAACCACAATTGAGCCCCAAATTTCTGTTGCTAAGCGAGACAGCTGTGAAGTGAGTTTTGCATCAGTCTACGACCTTTCTTGCCACAGTTGTTAAGTGAATCATTAGGTAACATGGTCATTAAGTGAGTCTGGCTTCCCCATTGAATTGGCTTGTCAGAAGGTCACAAAAGGGGGTCACGTGACCCCAGGATGCTGCGACGGTCATAAACAGGAGTCAGCAGCCAGGTGTCTGATCACATGGGGTCCGTGGGGATGCGACAATGGTCGTAAGTGTGAAAACCGATCATAACTCACTTTTTTTCAGTACCATTATAATTTCTAATGGTCACTAAACGAACGGTTATAAGTCAAGGACCACCTGTATTGCAGTGCATTGTATTACAGGTAACCCTTGACTTACAAGCTTTCGTTTAATATCCACTCAAACTTACAACAGCACTGAAAAAAGTGAGTTACGACCGTTTTTCACACTTACGTCCATTGCAGCATCTCTGTGTTCACATGATCAGAATTCAGATGCTTGGCAACTGACTCGTGTTTACGACGGTTGTGGCATCACGTGATCCCCTTTTGCGACCTTCTGACTAGCAAAGTCGATGGGGGAGCCGGATTCACTGAACACTTAAGTGTGACTCACTTAAGAACTGCAGTGATTCGTTTAACAACAGTGGCAAGAAAGGTTGTAAAATGGGGCGCAACTCACTTAACTATTGTCTCACTTTGCAATGGAAATGCCGTCTTCAATTGTGGTCATAAGACAAGGACCTGCTGTACATTACATTACACTACAATATTTAGAATATTTTTTTTTAATTTCATTATTTCACTGATGTGCTAGAGCGGGAGGGGGTTAAGACTTGTGGACTTCAACTCCCCGAATTCCTGAGGAATTCTGGGAGTTGAAGTCCACAAGTCTTAAAGCAAAGCTGGCTGAGGAATTCTGGGAGTTGAACCAGTGGTGGATTTCAAATTTTTTTACTACCGGTTCTGTGGGTGTGGCTTGGTGGGCGTAGCATGGCTTGGTGGGTGTGGCAGGGGAAGGTTACTGCAAAATCCCCATGCCCTCCCGATCAGCTGGGACTCGGGAGGCAGAGCATAGACGGGGGCGGGGCCAGTCAGAATTTTTACTACTGGTTCTCCAAACTACTCAAAATTTCTGCTACCGGTTCTCCAGAACTGGTCAGAACCTGCTGAGACCCCCCTCTGAGTTGAACCCTATGCTAGAGGCCCCAAACTGCTGATGGCTCTTTCCTGTGCCAGGGTGAACCAGGGAAGGCTTCTTAACCAGCCCCTTCCTGCCCCTTCCGATGCCAGCAGAGAAGCCCCTGCCAGGGCAGAGGTCTCCCTCTCTCTATTCCGGGGCCGCTCAAAGCAGGATTACGGCTTAGCCGGATAATTGGGTGTTTCATCCCTGAGAAGGGAGGGGCAGCCAGCGGTGCCCTTCAGAGATTCCCAGGGGATTTTTTTCCACGCAGGGCGGGGCCGCTGGCACGCGTTCAGAGAGGCAGCCTGCCAGGATGGCCCTCCTTTTGGGCGAGGCCTCGGAGGGTAAGAGCGGAGCCTCCGGTCGTTCCCAAAGATCAGTGCAGGGAAGCGAGCAGGACGGGTCCCTCAGGAAGGCTCAGCAGGGTCTGAGCTGTTTGCAATGGGATGGGAGACCACCAGGAAGCCCTAGGAGCATAAAACTGGGTTTGGAAGGGGGGGGGCAATCTCTCTTGCCCTTACAGGGGCCGTTCTGTGGCTCCCTCCAACCCTTGCCTTCTAGGATTTGAAGCCTTCTTCTCCTGCACGGCTGAGAAAAATCCAGGGACGTGCCTGCATAATGGGGGTGGGTGGGTTTCAGGGCCTTGTGCCAGCTTACTGGCGGGGGTTTGCATTCACCTGCAGCCCCTCCTGGCTTTTCTGGCCAGAGGGAGAGCAAAGCCCTCCTGCGTTTTGTCCGGCTGGTCTTCAGGTTGGGGTAGACATTCCTTCTGCAGGGAAAGAGCAGAGGACGGACGGGGTCTCAGGAGTGGGGAGGGTCCCTTCACGCTGCCAATGTGCCAGGGTCAGATTGTCTCTCTCCCCTCCCGGCCCCCAGCAGTCAGAAGCCAGCCTTGTTTGGGTGAGAAGCTGGAAGAGGGGGACTGAATTCCCCACCAGGACCCCGGACGTCCTGCGCTGACCTTGCCAGGAACACAATAGGGTGGGAGCCCCCCAAGGGGGGAGGACTGAGTGCTGATGCCCGTCCCCAAATTCAGCCTGGCCTTTGTGTGCCTTTCTGGCCACCAAGCCACTGTAGCCTGGCACCCGTGCAGGCCCTCCACACCTCAGCGGTGGAAAGGAAGGGGACAAGAGAAAGAATCCCGCTCCCAGCCAGGGAGGATTTATTTCCCCATTTGAAAAGGGGTGGACTTCAACTCCCAGAATCCCCCAGCCAGCATGTTGGCTGGGGAATTCTGGGAGTTGAAGTCCATGCCTGTTAAGGTTGAAAACAGCTGTTCCTGCCCGTCATTCCCTCCGCCCTCTAAGCAGCGGCAACCTCTGAATCTTCAGAAAGTGTGCTCTCTTGCGCAAGGCCCCTCCGCACCCCCATTCCGAAGAACAAGGCTGGGCGCTTCAAAGAGGCTGCCGGACGGACGTAGGAGTTGAGCTGAGCAGCCTGTTGCATCACCGCCCTCCTTGCGAGGGAGGCCGGGCAGCCGGGAGGAGTTCTTTATGTCATTGGGGTATTTTCCCCGGCATCTTTGCTTCTCGCGCCAATGAATTGCGCCTCCACCCCTTGGCGCTGCTCTCTGGGAGCCACTCGCGGCCCTCCTAGGATCTCTGCGATTTTGGAAGAAGAACAGCAGACTGACTCGAGGGCCGTCTATGCGCCCTGGAGACATGCTTTAAACACGCAGCAGACACCTGGGAAAAGGGCAGCCGGCAGCCGAAAAGCAGGCTGGCACACTGGCACCAAAACTCACAATTGCTGTTTTCCCTCACTAACGACTGCTGTGGTCTTTGGGGGTTTAATAGGGGCGGTGGGAGAAGGAAGGCATGAGGGGTCCCTTCACTTTGCTTCCCCTCCCACTGGGTGTCCCCGTCCTTCCCCTGGGCTGGGGCCGGGCTGGGTGAAGGGAGGAGGAGGCAACCTTGGACAGGGGCTTAGCTGCTTCTTCCGTTGTCTGCCTGGGGTCTATCCCAGGGCTCACCAACCTTCCCCACTTAAAGACTTGTGGACTGCAACTCCCAGAATTCCCCAGCCAGCAATCTAAAAAAAAATCTTCTTTAGCTAACTGGGTGTCATATTCCAAGTGTGGCCTTACCAAGGCTTTATAAAGTGATTAACAGATCATGTGATCTTGATTCTATGCCTCTGTTAATGCAGCCTAGGATTATGTTGGCTTTTGGGGCAGCTGCGACACACGGCTGGCTTCTATTTAAGTGGTTGTCCGCTAGGACTCCAAGATCCCTCTCACAGTTACTGGCATTGAGCCAGGTCTCTCACCTAATCTGCACCTGTGCACTTGGTTTTTCTGGCCTCACTTTTCTCACCACTGAATTGCATTTGCACCAGGTTGCTGGTGTCTCTGTGGATGAGAAGAAGCACCTCCAGAGACAAGGTGACTCACCTTGAAGTAAGGGAAGTGTTCAGTCATGAAGTTGTAAATCTCGCTGACAGGTAGACTCCCCGTTTTGCTGTTCTTTAGTGCCATAAATATGAGGATGCTGTAGAGAAGAGAGAACAAACCTCGGTTAGCATGGACCTCTTCCTTGCTCTGCTACATGGAGGGGGGGAGGGGGTGAAAGGAGAAATAGGACTCCTACAGGTGAGGGACTCCAGCATGGTGGAGAAGAACTGTTGGGCACCCGAAGTCTTGGACTCTGGGACTGACCGGGGCAATGCAGATCCATCTCTGAGCCCGCAGAGGGTCCAGGATGTGGGAAGAATATATATAACTAGCTGAATACCCATGCTCCGCTACAAAACTATGTTATCGGGCTTGATAAATCGACACTTACAGCTTGAAAATGAATGAGTATTACGATCTTCTCTTCCCTTCTCTCCCTCAGGCTTGCCCCACAGAAGCCTCCCCTATCCTACCCCTTGCTTGCTGCTGTGAAAGTAAAACTGAAACTGAAACTCCTCTCCTCTGCTTGTGTTTTGCATTTGGAACATATTTCTTTTCAGGTGGGGAGGGGGAGTAGAACTCCTTAGCATCAGAGCATGTTAATAATAATATAGGAAATACTAATGCTCTGATGGTCATTTCGAAAAATCCTTCCTTAGTGAGCACCTAGAAGCCAAGAGGAACATACATGGCAAATTTCAAGTTTGTAGGCTTTACAGTTCTGGAGATTTTGTGATGATGCCATGAGTGGTATTTTGCTTTTATATATATAGATTTATATAACTGTTAGAAATATTATGTAGGGAATCATAAACTTGCTAATCCAGGCCTCCAACAAAGTTGCTGTTTAACAGCCTCCAAAATCCTTTTAAACTTACAGCAAACATAAAAATTTGTTAAACGCTTATTTCAAATTGTAAACACACACAAGCAAGCACACAAAACTCAATTAACACAATGTAAACATAATTATGACCACAGTTCGAATGAAGAGACTCAATCTACATCTCTCGGTTTAATCAACCCTTTCTCAGGGGCCAACATCTACGTAGACCTTTGCCCCTGCAGTGTCACCCTAGAACCAGCTCCTACACACATCCACACCCCTCAAGACTCACACCAAGGACTTCAAGCTCCCCTATAAAGCAGCCCTTTCTGCCTCGTTTTCTCTGTAGCCCCCCTCACACGCAAACCTCTTTGCTTCTGGGAATAAAGAAATAAAGCTCTTTTCCTCACAGCTCTCTGGATTCCATCTCGATTTGTTCTTGTAGAACCCCAACTCGAGTTGGACCCCCAAATTATTCCTCTGACAAGGGTTTCTGGGGGAGGCTGCTTTGGCCACAGCCCCAACTCCTCTGAGGGGCTTCGCAATGTTTCCCCAGCCGGCTTCTTTTCCAAAAGCCCCCGTCAGAGGGAGAGTCCAGGGGATTGGAGTCTGCAGGAAGAGGGGCTGGCTTTGTTTACTGAATTTGCACACCTCTGCAGCCCCACCCATCCGGCTTTCACACCTAAGGCAGGAACGGAACTCATCTTCTCCTGGGGATTGGCTGAAAGTCATCCAGCTGAATTTCATGCCTAAATCGGGACTAGAACTCACCACCCCTTGGTGATTTGCTCAAAGTCGCCTAAATGCAGGGCTGGTATTCACTTCCTTTCCCTACTGGTTTGCAAATGTGAGTGCACGCCCAGCCTTCAGCGCATGTGCTTTGGTGGCGCCTGTGCCTTCCACGTATGTGGCCAGCCTCAAAAACGTGCCTAAATAGGAAGGCATAGAGCCGGGGTGGGTGGAGAGGCCCAACCACGATTTCCGCTACCGGTTCGGGCGAACCGGTCTGAACCGGCTGAATACCCCCTCTGCCTAAATGGCCTTTGTGGCTAATATGAGATGAGAACTCCTGGTCTCCTGGTGACTGGCCCCCCAAAGTCACCCAGCTGGCATCCGTGCCTAAGGCGCATCTAGAATTCACCGTTTCCTGATCTCTTGCCTGTTGCCTGAGCCACCAGACCGAACTGGCTGTGCCCTGCCCACCTTCCTTCTGCAGACTCAGCTGCCTTCGCCCCCTCTCCCAAGGCCATGATAGGCTGATAGAGGTTTTTTTCCTTGGCAAAACCACCAGATCCTCGCACACCTCCCTCCCTCCCTCCTTCCCCCTCCGCCCCGCACTTCCTACAAAATCTGCACTTCGGCTGCAATCGGTGAGCCTCTGTCCCGGAGAGCCAGGGCGTCTTCTTCGGCCTCTGTTGCGGGCTGGTCTCTTCCTTTCCGCAGATGCAGGAAACAGACTCCCCGCAAAGAAAAAAATCTCTCTTTATTTACACCTTGGGAATTCACTGCCTTTGTTATGATAAATGCAAGGTTTGAGCTCCCAGCCGGGAGGCTGCAAATTAAGTCAGAGAAATAGACAAACCTCTGTTCTGGCAAGGCAGAAACACACCAGGAGCAAACTTTTCAGAAATGTGAACGGTTGTCTGATACAACCACCCCTCCCTTTTCCTCTTACTTATTCCCCAGCTGGGGAGGGGCCACTCAGCGCCCACGTTTGTTTTGCTTCCCTCCGTTGTTCACCTCTCCTATCTGCTCTGCGCATACGCACATCTGGAACAGGCCCCAGCTGTTCCTCCTCCTCCTCCTCACTCATCTCTGACTCCAAAGGCAGCTGCCTCTCTGGCTGGGAAATGTCGGACGGCCCTGGCACTATCTCTGCGTCCGATGCTGCTTCCCCGGGCTCCAGAAGTGGCCCAAGTTCCTCCCAGTGTCCGAGTCTGCCATCAGCTCTGTGGCGGCTAGCGGGTCACAACATTGTGTCTCAGTGTCTGTGCATCCTTGTTGCCGTTTGCAGCAGACATTCCTCCAATTTGCCCCCCCCTCCCCTGCCCATCCTATTGTGGGAACTGAGAGACATTCCCAAAGAGGCTCCAGCCGGTTGGGAGCCAACCTCCCTGGAGCAGCCGAGAGGAAGTGAGTGCGAATGCTGGGGAGCACTCACCTGTAAGAGTAGATGGGCTTTGGAAAGAGGGGCGGTGGCTGCTGCTGGGGGCCTGGGGGCCCCATCCTCTGGTAGGGATGGTGGGGAGCCGAGAGGAAGGGGAGAGGAAGGCCACTGCTGACGTGATACTGAAAGAAGAAGAAAAAGAGAAATGCAGCTGGGCTTCCTTTCTCGGTCAGATTTTTACAGTCAAACAGCGATCAGCCCTTTTAAGGGTAAGGAACTAAAAGATTTAGCTGTGAGAAGTTTCTCTTGGATTCTCAAACCTTGCAAAGAAAGCCCCCTGCCCTCCCCCCGCCGTAGTGTTCGCCTCTCAGCCTCCTGCTCTCCTTGGCATGTAGTCCTCGACATACAACCACAATTGGGACTGGAATTTCTGTTGCTAAGCGAGACGGTTGCTAAGTGAGTTGCTCCTGATTTTACAACCTTTTTTGACAGCTATTAAGAAATCGCCCCAGTTGCTCAGTGTGTCATGTGGTCGTTAAGTAAATCCAGCTTCCCCCACTGCTTGTCAGAAGCCGGCCAGGAAAGTCACGAAATGGTGAACGGGGCTCCTGCAACAGTACTGAATAGGGGCCTGTGGCCAAATTAATTGTGATCTCGTGACATGGGGATGCCGAGATGGTCATAAGTGTGAGGATTGGCCATAGATCACTTTTCCAGTGCTTTTGTAACTTCAAATGGTTTGCTAAATGAGGGGTTTTAAGTCAAAGACTCCCCACGGATGGCCCTAACAGCTCAATTGGTGCTGCAGTTCCCAGGATCCACAGCCGGCATGGTCTTCCCTCCATGTCTAGAAAGGGCCATGCAGGGACCTTCTGGCCACGAGAGGACACAGAAGTGCATGAATAACAGAATAACAGAGTTGGAAGGGACCTCGGAGGTCTTCTAGTCCAACCCCCTGCTCAAGCAGGAGATCCTATGCCATTCCAGACAAATGGCTGTCCAATCTCTTCTTACAAGCCTCCAGGGATGGAGCACCCACAACTTCTGGTGGCAAGCAGTTCCACTGGTTAATTGTTCTCACTGTCAGGAAATTCCTCCTTAATGCCAGGTTGCTTCTCTCCTTGATGAGTTTCCATCCGTTGCTTCTTCTCCTGCCTTCAGGGGCTTTGGAGAAGAGGTGGACCCCGTCCTCTTTGTGGCAGCTCCTGAGATATGAACCCTATTTTGTATTTTTATAACTGTTTGGATGAAGAGGTGAGTTGGAATGCCTGTCAGATCTGCCAATGGTCCAAAATTGGGAGGGACAGGCAGTCCCTTGGAGCCGTGTTTCTCCATCTTGGCCATTTGAAGACGTGTGGACCATTGGGGGGGATTCAAAATAATTAACTACTGGTTCTGTGGGCGTGGCTTGGTGGGCATGGCTTGGTGGGCGTGGCAGGGGAAGGTTACTGCAAAATCCCCATTTCCTCCCAATCAGCTGGGACTCAGGAGGCAGAGAATGGATGGGGGAGGGGCCAGCCAGAGGTGGTATTTATCGGTTCTCCAAACTACTCAAACTTTCCGTTACTGGTTCTCCAGAACTGGTCAGAACCTGCTGAATAGCACCCCTGGTGTGGACCTCAACTCCCAGAATTCCCTAGCCCTGTGTTTCTCAACCGTGGCCACTTTAAGAGCAGTGGACACGTTGAAGTCCACACATCTTATAGTGGCCAAGGTTGAGAAACAGGGCTCTAGAAGACACAAATAAAATTCAAATTTTTGCCCTCGGGAAACTCTACTTAATTGCATAAGTATAGGACATTGATTGATTAATTGATTGGTTGGTTGGTTGGTTGGTTATGTTCTGTGCCACCCTTTAAAAGTAAAAAAAAGCCTCTGATGATCGCACACCTCAACTGGGATCGTCAGAGGCTTTAAAAGCATTTTTTTTACAACCTCTTCAGCAGTTTTAAAAGTTAAAAAAAAAAAAAAGTTGGCCATGCCCACAGTCATATTACCCCGCTCCCACCAAGCCACGCCCACAGAACCGGTAGTAACAAATTTTACATTTCACCGCTGGGTCGGACTAGCTGACCTACAAGGTCCCTTCCAACTCTGTTAATCTGTATCTGTATCTGGGATCATCACAGAGGGAAGAAGTGATGGGCTCATCAGGTGGAGCGATGGCCCAAGACTAACCAAACCAGTTCCAAAGCTGATACCAACTTGCCCGTGGGTTTTAGAGCAGGCTTCTGCAACCTCGTTGCCCTGCAAAAACCTTACTTTCGTGGCCCATAATCCCCAGCCTGTATAGTCCTGGCCTGCCCTCCCCCCCTCCCCGGAATTGCAGAAGTTGAATCCAAGGGAATTCAGGAGACCCCAAATTGAAGAAGGCCACGCAGGGCAAAACGCTTTGACAACTGCAGCGGGGGGGGGCAGAGAGGGGAGACCCCCTTCCTCACCCCACGGCTGAGAAGCCCAGGCCAAAGCCTCTGAAGGCAGGAGAAGAAGCAACGGAGGGAAGCTAATCAAGGAGAGAGCCAGTCTAGAGCTAAGGAGGAATTTCCTGACGGTGAGAACAATTAACCGGTGGAACTACCTGCCACCAGAAGTTGTGGGTGCTCCAACACTGGAGGTTTTCAAGAAGAGACTGGACAGCGATTTGTCTGGGGTGGTATAGGGAAAAAGTATCCAGCCTTGGGAACTTTAAGACTGGTGGACTTCGACTCCCAGAATCCCGGCTGAAGGTATTCTGGGAGTCTAAGTCTATCAGTCTTAAAGTTCCAAGGTTGGACATTCCTGATAGAGGCAGAGGGTTGGACTAGAAGACCTCCAAGCTCCCTTCCACCTCTATGATTCTGTCTAATCTGAATTCCCTCCAAGACCAGGCCTCTGGGTTGGCTGAGAAGGAACTGGGCACAGGGGTACCAAATCTTTTCCTCGACCCCCAAGGTGGTCCAGGGTGCCAACCATCACCTGTGCCCTTACCTGGTGGAAGGGGTGGGAGGAGGCACAGTACTCTGGTGGTCCGTGAGGCTGGCAGCAGAAGGGGCCGGGCTGCTCCTCCAGGGGGGCTGTCTTCAGCCTGGCATCTGCCTCCTGTGGGGAAGAGAATCTGGGTTTGTGTGTGTGCTTGAGGTCGCCCCAAAAAGGACCAAGTCCTCTTCTGCACTGGTCAGGAAATGGGTGTCCAACCCAGACCTGCAAGGGTGAGACCACTGGAACACGGAGAAAACCTATCCTACTTTTTGGACTCCATCCTCCATCCTCCACTGCCCAAGGGTTATTTGCTACCCCTATTCCATGTGGCTCAACCCAGAAGGGGCACAGAGGGATCGATGCCCACCTACCCTTTCTTGTAGGACTGTCTGACACCCTGAGCATAACATGACATTACAAGTCCTCGAT